AAAAACAACTTGCATGCCTATTTGGAAACACCCACAAGTTGTTCAACTTTATTATATAATTTACAAAATAGGTATATTAATAAATAAGTATATTGAATAATATTATATTATTTTCTCATTTATTATATGAATAAATAAATATATATAATAATATACTATTATTTTTTATTTAAATAAATTAAATATAAAATAACTAAATATAGTAAATAATATACAATAAACTATAATTAAATAAATAATATAATTACAAAAATAATATAATGTATTTTGTTATTTATTTATTTTTGCTTTTATTTCGTAATTAATATATATATTAAACTATATATACAATATAATATAATTAAGTATACATATAATTAGAAATAACATAAAATGATATTGTTTAGTTATTTATTTAGTGAAACTAAAATAAATAAATACTAAATAAAATATTTTTTAATAAAACTTTTATTAAATTTATTTTTTATTAATTTTATTTAATTTGAATTATATTTAATATATTTATTTATTGTATTATTGAATATATTTATATTTAATAAATATTTAATGTTTTTATTATGATATAAAACTTATTTATTATATTTTATTATCTAATAAATTTATTTATTAAACTATTTAATATAGTTATTTAATTAGTAAATATTTATATAATATGAAAATTAAAATGAGTTAAATATATTAAATATTTAATTAAAAAAATAAGTAATTATTTATTTTTTATATTAATTCAATATCAACGACCTTTAATATATTAATTTTTTTATTTAATATATTTAATGTTATATATATTTATAAATATATTATTTAATATATTTATTAATTTAAATATTAAATAAATTTTTTAATATATATATATATATAAATATTTAAATATGTTAAATAAAGTTTTATTATTTATTATATTTATTTATTATGTTATTTAATATATTTATTTATTTAGTATATACTTATTAAATTTATAAAAAATCAATTAAAACTTTAAAAATATAAATTAGTGTATAAAACAACATTAATGATAATAAAATTTTAATTAAACAAGGTAATTAAATATATAATATTATATATATTTATTTATTTCGTTTACTGCTTTTTTTTTTATAACTAATACATATTTACTAAATAAATTGTGTATTAGTTTTATAATTTTAGTATAAATAATTAATATTATATTATTTATTATATTTATTTATAAATTTAATTAATAAGAAATAACATTATATTATTTAATATATTTATTAATTTATATTTAATGTATTTATTTAATTAGTAAATATTAATTTAACTAATAAAAATTTTAATAATACATATCATGTATTATTTAATAAAACTAATATATCATGTATTTAATAAATTATGTATTAGTTTTATAACTAAAAGTAGTATAAATTAAATAATATATATATATGTATTATTAAATTAGTTTTAGTATTAAAGTAATATAAATTAAATAATAATATATATGTGTATATAAATATATATAGAGTAATATATACTGTTGTAAAATATTATAATTTTATTTGAAGAACTGTTGTATTGTGTAGTTATGAGTGGTTTTAGATTTCATTCATTATTGTACAAGATGGGACTAATTAGACCAATTCGTGATACTTATTTTTAATAAAAATACATAATTATGCTATAAAATTTTATACTTTAATTTATGTTATTTTAAAATTATCTATAGCATACCAGTTTAAAAATTTATATATATATTTACTAAGAAAATGTGATTAGTTAATTATTAGGTAAATTTAACATTAATAACTCTATGGTCCCACATTAATTAGTTTTATTAAAATCCTGCATCTCACACAAAAATAGTGACAGATGTAGGAATTTCACTCATAAGGGTCCGATTTTAAATGTTATAACAAACTTGTAGTTAATCCGAAATGCTCTTTTCATATAAAATTATATTTACTATAAATATAATATATATATATATATATATATATATGTCTACCATTAAGTTTTTAAAAACTTATAAAATCCTACTAAATACAAGTGTTTATAAATCACAAATCAATTTACATTTAAAAGATCGAAAAAATAAATCATTATGTATATTTTCAAAAATTTATCTAAAAATGTAACGATTGTTAGTATATTTTTTAAATAAGCATAAATAATAATTACTAATATATTATAAATACTTTAAAGTATTTTTTTATGTAAATTAAAAATAAAAAATATCAGGGTGCCCGTGGACCCGCTCCGTCACTGCACAAGAATCATCCAACTTTCATCTAACGATTATTTGTTTACCCCCATCGTATCTAGGTTACCTAATTCTAAGGGATATAGGAAAAAAAAATATTAATGTGCAATTGAAAATAATAACTGAGTTCAAAACCGAAATAACTGAGTTCTTTTAAGTATAAAAATAATAAAAAATAACAATTGAACCGGAATATAAAATTTCAAACCCAAAGTTTTAGTTAGTTTGGTTGATTTTTTTTTTTTTTTATATATATATTGTGCATTGACATAGTTATTAACGTGCAATCCATATAATCATAATGTGCACTCGCAATACATAAAAAATATATAAACCATAATATAAATACTTTACATATAGATCCGTTATTTTAATTTTCATTGAAATAATCGAAATATGTAAATTTTAAAGTTATCGAAATAACTTTATTTTAGTTGAAATTCTCGAGGTCATAATAACTTAAATTTTATAAATAACCGAAAATATAATTCGAGACAAAAAAAATTATAAATATTTCAGTCTTGATCACTAACTAGTATTTGATCCTGTGTACTTGCACATAAGTTTATATTATCATAACTTATAAGTTACGTTTATGTATATAATTATAAAATTATAAGTTAAATAATAGTATCACATTTTAAGAATTTTGTCGTTAATAAAAATGAACATCATAAAAGTATTCAAATTCATCACTATATCTATTATATAAAATAATATGGATAATAATTTTTCATTAAATTCAACTAATATAGTGTACAATCTTGGATGAAAATTTTGAATTTCAACGAGCTGGTGTAAAGATCTCAAAATTACAAAATATGACTTTTCTTATATCTTTTTGCGTGTATCTCTAGTATATCAATACTTAATACTTCTTTTGCATGTTAATAGTCAACATACAAATTTAAAAAAAAAAATATTTTTAACCATTCAAATTTAAGGGTTTAAACATTATCCCGTAACCATATTCTCCAAATATAGAGAAATAAAAAATGGTAATCGCATACAAACGTTATAAATCCAAAATATAGTAAAAATATGTAGATGATTGTATGGAATAAATTAAAAGAAAAAAATATTGTAACAGTTTTTGGATGGAGGTCATAAATTTTTTTATTAAATACAACCTGTTTTTATTAAATGAACTCGTATTATTATTAATTGAAGGCTGAATAAAATTAAATGAAGCTTGCCAACAATTATATATATAGATGTGCGGTCTGTCACACATAAATGTGCAATATGTCTAACTCTAATGTGCAGCATTTCAGTCGCTATTGTGCTTATGTTCCATTCGAACTTTTGCCTAACCATATTAAAACCGAACCGAAATACATGATTTATTCGGTCGGTTAACCATATTATCGTAATTATTATAAATCATTTATTTGTTTATATTATAAAAATTATTTAATATTTGAATAATTTTATTTAATATTTTTACATTAGTTTTTATTGT